TAGATAGATAGATAGATAGATAGATAGATAGATAGATAGATAGATAGATAATTACTTATTTTGGAGAGAATGCAGGTGGGGGAGGAGCAGGGAGAGGGGGACAGAGGATCTGAAGGGAGCTCTGTGCTGACAGGCTGACAGCAGCAAGTCCGACGTGGGGCTCAAACTCACGAATCTTGAGATCATGACCTGAGCCAAAGTCAGATGCTCAACCGACTGAGCCACCCAGGTGCCCCTATTTATTTATTTTTAGTGTTTATTTATTTTGAGAGAGAGAACATACATATGAGAAAGGGAGGGGCAGAGAGAGAGGTAGAGAGAATCTTAAGCCGGCTCCATGCTCAGGAGCCCAGCGAGGAGCTCAGTCTCACAGCTGCAAGATCACAATCTGAGCCAATATCAAGAGTCAGACGTTTGACTGAGCCACCAGGCCCCTGCTCCAAGATTTTATTTTTAAGTGATCTCTACACCCAGCATGGGGCTTGAACTCACAACCCTAAGATTAGGAGTCGCATACTCTACCAACTGTGTCAGCCAGGCACCCAAGACCATGTCTTGTTTATCTTTATATGCACATTGTTCAGTATCATGCCTGGTGCATAGTAGATGTGAATATGTGCTTAGCTGTACTTGATGCTTCCTTCCCTATTGCTTTCCTCAAGCGTAACACTTTTCTTGTATTCATTCTTTAACTTTTCCTCTACTTATCTTTTCTTCTTGCTTTCTTTGCTTCCCATCATTTTCCCTTAACAATTCTTATTTGTAAGCCCTTCCTTTTAAGGTAAACTTTTTTCTTCTATCCTTCCCTTGAAAGATATGTCTCTTCTAGATACTATATTTTTACTTAAGATAAGTATTTACTCACCCCCTTACTGTGAGTGAATGGAATGAGGTTAGTCATTAATCTCTGTTTTGTTGTCTTGGTTTTAAGTCCGTGCTCTATGCTTCTGGTGCACTCCTCCAGTTAAGGAACCCTTTTTAACATCCCTTGCTGGATTGTACTGTTGGCATCCATGAATTTAAGAAACATGGAATAGCATAAAGCTACTATGAATTCATTAATTTAAAAATATATGTTTGTATTTGATCAAACTATTTACATACTTCTGAAAATTGGTATGCATATTAATTTAGTGTATAGTCAGAGCTTAATGTGTTTATACATTTGAAGACTCTAGGTTGCCACATAGGAATCTGCAGATTAAAGTTTGGGAACTACTGTTCTAATACTAGAAAATAGTGCTCTGCCATATTTCTTCCTTGTGCAGAGGACCTAATCAAATTTTCTAACCTGAATTGAGATATTCCTGGTGCCATGTTCATTCAAGATATCTTTAGCTCTCCCAGACACAGTCTTTTATGGTAGCAGTAGTACAGTTGCTGTGAAAACTAAAAGTCTTTAAAATTAGTGATTTGGTTTTCTTACAGATCCCACCAGCACCACCAAGACCTGACTTCGATGCTTCAAGGGAAAAACTACAGAAGCTTGGAGAAGGAGAAGGGTCCATGACAAAGGAAGAATTCACAAAGATGAAACAGGAACTGGAAGCGTATGTGATTTTTGTTGTTGGTTTTGTTAATTGTGCTTATTTTAATGCCTTTTTTCTGTGCTCTCTGATATCCCATCCTTTTAATCATTTCACCACAGTGACCCTTTCTGAAAGATGCAGGTTTAAGCCAAACAACCAGTTTTAATGATCATGATCAGAGCCTACAGGAAAATTATAGAATAATTGCCTACATTGTAAAATTCTTTAAATTCATGTTTTAAATAGACTCTGAAAATTGCAAATGGGGGGTCCAAAACTTTATTTAAAAATAGTAGAAAGGGAAATAAGACTTTTTGAAGCAGAATATAAGTTGTTTTGGTTTTTATCTACAAGGCCTTAGTCATTGCCAACCTGGTTTTCTTTTTTCGATGTGTGCATACTACCCAAACTTCTGTTTTCTGTTTCTCATAGAAATATGCACCGAGCAACTCTGCACATACTCTGTTTTCTTTTTTAAAAAGTGTGTGTGTGTGTGTGTACGCATGTGTGTGCACGCGTGCTCCTGTCTAAATGGCTGTGTCTGTGTTTAATTTTTGCCCTCTTTCTTTCTGCCTATGGCTTCTGGCTAAGGGGAAAAGAATAGGAGCAAAGTAAAAGGAGAATAGTTTTAAAATGTTTTTCATTAAATGATTATTAGTTTCACATATACTAGAAATGCATTAAATCTTTGAAAAAACTGGAGATAACTTCTGTTTTGCGTTTAGCATATTTGCTGAAAATGCAGAATCTTTCCCTTCTTATTAGACATTTGAAGTAATTTTAGATTTACAGGATATTGTTTTCTGTATTTTGAGAGCAGTACAAGTAAACACTTTCCCTTGTATCATCATCACCTCCATCACTCTTTTTCTGATCATTTCTCCTCTTCATTCATTTCCTTTTCTCCTCTTCCACTTAGTTTCAGTTTTTAAGCATATATGCACCTGGCTACTAGACTCCTCTTCAGAATGCTAAACTCGTTTGACAAGATAAATTAGCAAAGTAGATCTTTTTTGTCAAAGTGTAAGGTGACATATTTTAAGATTTTTGTCCATGCTGGGTGCAAGCAATAGTCTGAGAGACAGAGATACATACTTTTATAGTTATAAGACTGAAAACTGGAAATTAGCAGAGCACATTAATATTAAAGAATCTGTGGTTTTCCAGTGGCCCTGATCATGATTCTTTTGTGGTCTGGTTAGGGGTTGGATAACAGAGAACCTTGGGTTTATTCTACTGCTACCTCCATCCTCTGCATCCTTCTTTTTTGTCTTCACTGAATGACTACCCTCACAGAGATCAAACTTCTCCCAACATTGGTCCTGCTGGTTTGCTGGTATGTAAAATTTATCCTCCTTGCACGTAGTTGAAGCAAGAATATTGGGCCTTTTCCTTGAGTGTTTCTTTTTTCAAACTGACGTATATTACTATATGATCACTGTGATTCACTGATGAAATTAAAATATTTTAAACATAATTTTCCAATGTAATGACAAAAATTAGTCTCTCTGTGGTGTGCTTTTTTTCTTGTGTGTTTGGGTCATTAGATGAAAATAATTATTAATGTTGAAAATATGCTTACTGAGGTTTGAGTTTAGATTTTTTTTTTTTTGTACACAGGTATTTAAAAGCAGTAATTATCGAGAAATTGATCCATAAAGATTGTATCAAATAATTTGTAGTGTACTTTCTCTGGAGCTGAAAACAAACACCCCTATAGTTATCTTTAACATCAACTTGCATAGGAAGAAAAGTTCATAAAACTTAAAAATATTAACATTTAAATATAATAAATACTATTAACTAGCATGAAGTCTTTTCAGAGCTGGATTTTATACATTTTATTAACAGTTCAACTAAAACCTTTATTTACATGGATTATATATTTGTATCTTTAATTTTGCATTTAGAATAATTTGGAGTATTTGTTGAAAACTGTTACGGACTATTTTCTAGTTGATGCAGTGTTTTACCTTTAATTATGTGTATTGTTTCTAGTGAATATTTGGCAATATTCAAGAAGACTGTTGCAATGCATGAAGTGTTCCTATGTCGTGTGGCAGCACATCCTATTTTGAGAAAAGACTTAAATTTCCATGTCTTCTTGGAATATAATCAAGATGTGAGTATTGATTAAAGCAGTAATCAAGGTTTATTTTTAGAGTCACTGTAAAAGGCAGGGAGTAGTTAGAAAAAAATCCTTTTTTTGTAATGTTCTTATTTTTCAAGGTAGTGTAAAATGACATTTTTTTTTTTAATTTTTTTTTTTTTCCAACGTTTATTTATTTTTGGGACAGAGAGAGACAGAGCATGAACGGGGGAGGGGCAGAGAGAGAGGGAGACACAGAATCAGAAACAGGCTCCAGGCTCCGAGCCATCAGCCCAGAGCCGACGCGGGGCTCGAACTCACGGACCGCGAGATCGTGACCTGGCTGAAGTCGGACGCTTAACCGACTGCGCCACCAAGGTGCCCCTAAAATGACATTTTTTTTAGTGGTAATAGAGTATTTCAATACAACTAGAGAAGAAATGAAGAAATTGAAGAAATGAGGCTAAATCATGTTACTGCATGGGACATTGATTTTCATCCTGAATTGTGAACCTCTTAAGAAATAGGATTATCAACTTGATTGTTTCCTAAATTTGAGTTTGAAGTTTTCTGAAATTCCAGGGAGGTGCTTGAGCTAAAGAATTCTAGATTACTTTAGGGTTAATCATTGCCTTTTGATCTGTTTAACTGACCTTTTTCAGTGCCAATTGCTCCTACTCTTCCTCCTTCCCTGCCTGAAAACTCTGTTACAGTGCAAATAGAAAAATTGATGTGGTTGAGCTTTAAAGATTTCTTCATTCATAGTACTGGCAAAAATTTTTTTTAATGGATAGGTGATACAGATCTTGGGATTTATATTTGAATGACAAGATTAACTCATAATTTTAGCAGAAAACAAATGTAGCATAGTGCTTATTTGCTTATAAGTTGACATCAAGATCAAAGAATTTTATGTATATAAATTTGCCCTTCTGGTTTGGTTTTAGTAGACATGACAATAAAATATCCTAAGTCTAGCAATAGAGAGAACACATTTTTTTGAAAGGGTATGAAGTAACTCAGGATCACAGAAACAGCATTTTAAGCCTGGATACTTTCACAAGTGTAAATATGGTATGTGATACTGGCATGTGGTCATTTACAACTAGGAACTGTAAAAAAATTCTGGCTATGTCATGAATTATAAGAAGCTGAAAATAACTTGTGACTGGGTTGCCAAAGAACACATGATAGAATGCTGTCATCACTTTTTTTACTTTTATGTGTTTGTTTTTGCTTAACCTTATTCATGGCCTTGGCCAAAACCTTAATAATAATTGGTAGAGCAGCTTAGGCATACAGTGAGTATTATCAGTGCAAGGCCACTTGAGCTGGAGGAGCCTCATGCTCTGTGTACTCTGTCCCATTGCCAAATCCCTTAGTACTATCTGAAATTATATGTCTGTATTTTAAATTTTTATGTATTTATTATCTGTCCTCTCTACTAAAATGTAAGCTCTCTGAAAGCAAGGCTTGAATTTTACACCATTGTATCCTCACTGCTTTAGAATAATGGCTGACAATTAAGATGTAAAATAAGTATTTGTTAAAATGATAAGTGAAAGATTATTGATTGTTTTCCAGTTGTGGTGGTGGTTTTTTAACTTTTTTTTTTTAATTTAAATTTTATAGTTAACATACAGTGCAATATTGGTTTCAGGAGTAGAATTCAGTGATTTATCACTTACGTACAACACCCAGTGCTCATCCCAACAAGTGCCCTCCTTAGTACCTATCACTCATCTAGCCCATCTCCCACCCACCTCCCTCTGTCAACCCAGTTTGTTCTCTGTCATTAAGAGTCTCTTGTGGTTTGTTTCCCTCACTTTTCTTTCCCCCCTCTTCCCATATGTTCATCTGTTTTGTTTCTTATATTTCACATAGAAGCGAAATCATATGGGATTTGTCATTCTCTGGTTGACTTATTTCACTTAACATAATATATGCTAGCTCCGTCCACATCATTGCAAATGGCCAGATTTCATTCTTTTTGATGGCTGAGTAATATTCCATTGTATATATGTACCACATCTTCTTTATCCGTTCATAAATTGATGGACATTTGGGCTCTCTCCATAGTTTGGCTATTGTTGATAATGCTATAAACATTGGGGTGCAGGTACCCCTTTGAATCTGTATTTTTGTATCCTTTGGGTAAATACCTAATAGTGCAATTGCTGGATCATAGGGTAGTTCTATTTTTAGTTTCTTGAGGGACCTCCATACTATTCTCCAGAGTGACTGCACCAGTTTGCATTCCCACCAACAGTGCAAGAGCATTTCCCCCTTTCTCTGCATGCTTGCCAACACTTGCTGTTTCTTATGTTGTTAATTTTAGCCATTCTGACAGGTGTAAAGTGGTATTTCATCATGGTTTTGATTTGTATTTCCCTGATGATAAGTGATGGTGATCATCTTTTATATGTCTGTTAGCCATCTGGATGTCTTCTTTGGAAAAGTGTCTGTTCATGTCTTCTGCCCATTTCCTCACTAGATTATTTGTTTTTTGGGTGTTGAATTTGGTAAGTTCTTTATGGATTTTGGATACTAAGCCTTTATCTGATATGTCATTTGCAGATATCTTCTCCCATTCTGTAGGCTATCTTTTAGTTTTGTTGGTTGTTTCCTTTGCTGTGCAGGAGCCTTTTAAGTTTATTTTTGAAAGAGAGAGAAAACATCAGCAGGGGAGGGGCAGAAAGAGAAGGGGAGATTGAATCCCAAGCAGGCTCCACACTCAGCATAGAGCCCCATGCAGGGCTCGATCCAACCATCAGATCAGGACCTGAGCTGAAATCAAGGGTCTGACACTTAACCGACTGAACCACCTAGGTGCCCCAGAAGCTTTTTATTTAAGGAAGTCCCAATAGTTCATGTTTGCTTTTGTTTTCCTTAACGTTGGCAATGTGTCTAGTAAGAAGTTGCTCTGGCCAAGGTCAGAGAAGTTGCTGCCTGTGTTTTATTCTAGGAATTTGATGGTTTCCTATCGCACATTTAGGTCTTTCATCCATTTTGAATTTATTTTTGTGTATGGTGTAATAAAGTGGTCCAGGTTCATTCTTCTGCATGTTGCTGTCCACTTTTCCCAACACCATTTGTTGAAGAAACTGTCTTTTTTTCATTGGATTTCTTTCCTGCTTTGTCGAAGATTAGTTGACCATATAGTTGTGGGTCCATTTCTGGGTTTTCTATTCTGTTCCACTGATCTATGTATCTGTTTCTGTGCCAGTACCATACTGTCTCGATGACTACAGTTTTGTAATATAGTTTCAAATCTGGAATCGTGATGCCTCCAGTTTTGTTTTTCTTTTTTGGATTGCTTTGGCTATTCAGGGTCTTTTGTGGTCCCATACAGATTTTAGGATTGTTTGTTCTAGCTCTGAGAAAAATGCTGGTGGTATTTTGATAGGGATTGCATTAAATGTGTGGATTGCTTTGGGTAGTATTGACATTTTAACGTTTGTTCTTCCAATCCATGAGCATGGAATGCTCTTCCATTTGTTAGTGTCCTCTTCAATTTCTGTCATAAGTGTTTTATAGTTTTCAGAGTACAGATCTTTTACCTCTTTAGTTAGGTTTATTTTCCTAGGTACGTTTTTGGTGCAGTTCCAAATGGAATCAATCCTTTGATTTCTTTTTCTGCTGCTTCGTTATCAATGTATAAAAATGCAACAGATTTCTGCATGTTGATTTTATGTCTTGTGACTTTGCTGAATTCATGTATTAGTTCTAGCAATTTTTTGGTGGAGTCTTTCGGATTTTCTACATAGAGTATCATGTGAAAGTTTGACTTCCTCCTTGCTGATTTGGGTGCCTTTTCTTTTTGTTGTCTGACTGCGGAGATTAAGACTTCCAATAATGTGTTAAATAGTAATAATGAGAATGGGTATCCTTGTCTTGTTCCTGACTATAAAGGAAAGGCTTTCAGCTTTTCCCCATTGAGGAGGATATTAACTATGGGTCTTTCATATATGGTTATGATGTTGAGATATATTCCATCTATCCCTACATTGTTGCGGGTTTTTATTAAGAATGGATGCTGTATTTTGTCAAATGGATTATTGATTGTTTAGATCAGATTTATAAATAGCTTTGGAAAAAAATTAAGGTTTCATAAATTTTCTCCCTTCAATATAGATTTCTTTTTCTTCCTCCCACTAATATATGCTTAATAGAGATAATGATGTCATGCATTATAATAACCCTTTTAATACCAGCACATGGTATTTTGGAGAAACTCTAAAAAGACAGGAAAGTGGTTTGCAAATATTTTTTAATCATTAATTAATAGCAAGTATATTAACAGGTTATAGAAGATTATAGGCCCCAGGGCACCTGGGTGGCTCAGTCAGTTAAGTAAGATCAGGTCATGATCTCACAGTTTATGAGTTTGAGCCCAGGATTGGGTTCTCTGTCAGTGCAGAGCCTGCTTCAGATCCTCTGTCCCCATCTCTGCCCCTCCTCCGCTTGTGCTCCCTCCCTCTTTCAAAAATTAACAAACATTAAAAAAAAAGAAGGGACACCTGAGTGACTCAGTCGGTTGGGTGTGTGACTTCAGCTCAGGTCATGATCTCATGGTCCGTGAGTTTGAGCCCCGTGTCGGGCTCTGTGCTGACAGCTCAGAGCCTGAAGCCTGCTTCAGATTCTGTGTCTCCTTCTCTCTCTGCTCCTTCCCCACTCACACACTATCTTTCTCTGTCTCTTAAAAATAAATAAATGTTAAAAATTAAAAAAAAGAAGAAGAAGAAGAAGAAGAAAAGGTATGCCTGGGTGGCTCAGTTGGTTAAGCATTTGACTCAGTTTCAGCTCAGGTCATGATCTCATGGTTGGTGGGTTCTAGCCACACATGAGGCTCTGTGCTGACAGCATGGAGCCTGTTTGTGATTCTCTCTCCCTCTCTCTGTGCCCCTCCCCTGCTCTCTCATTCCGTCTCTCTCGAAATACAAACTAATACAAAAAAAGTTTTTTAAAAAGAAGGAGATTATAGGCCCAAAACTAAGAGGTTTTTCTCAATGTTGTTCTAATGCTGTTTCATGGATCTTTACATACTTCAGTGGGGCAGGAAAAGCAATCTGCATGTGCTGTTTTGTTTTCTAAGTTTCCGAGAGCCATGGGACTGATAAGTTGCTGAAGTAGAGCTAGGGTGTCTTAAAGTCTAAAGAGGCCATCAGGCAGCTGGGAGGCCTAGAAAAGCTTATTCTAGCATTGAGTTGTTTGAGAAATAGTTGCTGTTGTAAGGAATGATTGCCTTTAATGTTCAGTGCCTTACTTAAGTAGTTGTATACCTTCTCTGTTTCTACTAGGTATAGTCTGAGTCTACTTAAGAGTAGAGTAAATATATAACCTCTTCAACACCCTAATGTCCATTCAGTTCTTGCTGCCTTATCAGTGGACATAACCCAGGACCCTGCCTCATATCTGAGTTCTTAAGCCCTAGTATTAATAGACTCCAAACATAGACAGCTCTGTTTTTCCCTATTCATATTTTGATTGTTCTTTGATTCTGGTACATCTAGACACTTGATCTCTTCTGCATTTTGACCCTGTTAGCAGCCCTTTTGTCTTTACTTTGTTCTCATGTAGCCTAGATTGCCTGCTCCATCATTTATAACAAGGTTATATATGACTTCAAACAGCTCTCTCCCATTTTCCATAAAAGCTAATTTCAACTTGCAGCAGTTCCTCCTTGATGTAGAATGACCTTGTTCACTAGGAAATACAAGCCAATCAGAGATCAAATCCCACAACTCCACATGTCTCCCACAACCCTCATCTGCCTTGGCAGCCACATGCATATATTAGCTTTTTTTTTTTTTTCTTTTTTTTCTTCCTTTCCAATCTGGACAACTTTTAATTTCTTTTGCTTGCCTAACTTCCATGGCTAGAATCTCCAGTACAATGTAAAATAGAAATGACAAGAGCAGACATCCTTGTTTTGTCTATGATCTTGGGAGGAAAGCATTCACTATTTCACTATTAAGTATGATGTTAACTGTGGGGTTTTCATTGATGCTCTTGATCAAGTTGAAGAAGTTCCCTTCTATTCCTAGTTTGTTGAGTGTTTTTATTATGAAAAAGTATAGCTATTGAGATGATAATGTGGTTTTGTCCTTTATTCTACTAATATAGTATATTACATTGTGCCTTTCCACTTTGACAAAGGTATCTTTCTAGCTATCCTGGATCCCATGTACTTCTGGATCTTTGGGATCTGTTCTGAGTTTCCTTCTTAACTTTGTGGCTCCTTCTTAGTGTCCTTTGTGAGCTTTTTCCTCCATATATCCATTCATTTAAATAGGATCCTTCCAAGGTTCCTCACTGATTTCTCCAGAAATTTAGAAGTTCCTTTAGACTTCTAACTCTAAATTCTCCTGAAGTGATCTCATTGACTCCTATGGCTGCAGGTACTTTTATATCTATTAACTTATAAATCTGTATCACTTGTTTGAGCTCTTCTTTAAATGCAGGTCTTCTTTTATGTTCTCTGTCTCAAAGAAGATACCAGCACCTTCCAATTTCTTAAGACCTAAAAATTACTCATGACTTTACTCCCTATTCCTTTTTTTTTTTTTTTTTTTAAGTAGGCTCCATGCTGAGGCCTGAACTCAGACCCGGAGATCAAGACCTGAGCTGAGATCAAGAGTTGGACAGTTAACTCGCTGAGCCACTCAGGCATCCCCCTGCTCCCTATTCCTATTAGGAAACACCAAATCCTGTCTGTTCTACTGTCTTACTATATTAGGAATGTGTCTACTTCCTTCTATCACCAGACCTAAAGATTAGTTCTGACCTTTATAACCCTTGATTGGGTTATTGAAACAGCCTCTGACTGGTCTTTCAACCTCCAGTCTTACCTTTCTCATTTTCTAAGTCTGTATTAAGTTCCCTTGGTGTTCTCGAAGTGCCGTATGGATTCCTATAACATTGTACTGCTCACCCTATGTTTAATCATATGTTTCTCTGGATTCTCCTCTGCACCATAAATTACTCTTATAGAGTATGGACCACCTCTTAATCATCCTTATTTTCTGAACACCTAGCACAGTGCGTGATTGTAATACACATTTGTCAATAGTTTTTTAAATAAGTGAATTAGTTAATATAAGAACACAGTTTTGAAAAACACCCAGAGTGCATTCAGAGGCCTAAAGATACAGCAGTTTAGAAAGGTTTCATGAAGAGAATGTGTTTTAATTTCGATGTTTAATGAAGTCTGAATAGAATTTTTGGTGGGAAGAGAGATACTATTTCAGGTATAGGGGAACCTAAGCATTTAGAGCTTCTTTTGAGAACTATTTGGAACATAAGGTTCTGTGGGGGTTTGGTGGTGAGTACAAAGGTAAATTGAACCAGATTGTTGAAAGTCTTGAATACCATGCCTAGGGGATTGGCTTTTATTCTCTGAACATTGTGAAACTCTATAAAGTTATTGAGTAGGGAGGAGATGCTCAAAATTTAATTTTGGAAGTCCTCATCAGAATGGATTGGATTGAAGAAATGAGAGATGTTAACTAGTAGTCCAGTGTGGTAGTTAAGCAAGAAATAATGAGGATTTTTACTAGGACAGTGAGAAAGGAAAGGGACAAATTTCAGACATTTGATGGTAGAATTTGAGCTTTGAGAGACAAAAAGAAGTTGTAGATTATTTCAAGATTTTTAATGAGTGGTATGGGGTTTTAGGGAACATGTGGGAATCTGAGAGATTGGTTGGATGGAGGGACCATGAAGGAGGGACCATGAATAGGGAGAACCAAGAAAAGGAAAGTTTTGGAGATTAGATTATAATGAATACTGCTTTAGTCTAATGTGAGGTTAGCAGAATTTCCATTTATAAGGATATGATCTAGGCAAATGGAAATAGAATCTAAGATTCAGGAAAGAGCTTAGTGGTAGTGATCATGATTTGTGAATCATTTATATAATGGTGAGCATTGAAACCGTGGTAGTAGATAAGGAAATTAGATGGGCTATTCCTTTATGGGACACCCTGGTGCAGCAAGTGGTAAATAATAATGAAAGAGGCATTACTTTCCATATGTAATCTAAAAAAGAAAAAAATTGCCAACTTAAGTTTACCTTTCTTTCAGCTGAGTGTGAGAGGAAAAAATAAAAAAGAGAAACTTGAAGATTTCTTTAAAAACATGGTTAAATCAGCAGATGGAGTAATTGTTTCAGGAGTAAAGGTAAGATTTTATTTGATTAACAGAGGTATTGGTTTAAGAATCCACTTATTTTAAGAAGATAGAGATTTCAGATGTGCAGGTGACCATTGGAGTAAAAGAGAAGTTTGAATAGTAGAATGCTTAGGCCTGAGAAACTGGGCCCTGCCCTGGAATCCACTCTTTAGAGCCCTTCCTTTTCCCAACGGGCGAGAGTTCTGCAGTCCAAGGGGATTTGCCCACCTGGAGCACATACCCCTTCCTTCCAAACTAGACCATGCTTGAAGTATCCGGAACCCGGTATTTCTTTGCCCAAATCTGAAGCCAAGTCTTCCTCTTCTGTGGGTAATCAAGGGTGACCATGGGTCAGCTGGGGAAAGGGAAGGCACAGGGGAGGTCAGTGTGCAGAATGGAGTGTCCTGTTACATACATCTGAGGTTTCTTTAGGTGCCTTACAGAGCTGCAGGGTGGGGCACGAAGCGGGGCTCCATTTGTACATTTGCCCTTGGTCTTACAAATGTTAGGGGCAGACTTGGGTTCAGATCTGGAGTTAGAAGAGCTTCTTTGAGGTTTTAGTCTTGTCTTGGGTGCCTGGCTCAGGTAGAGCATGAGGCTCTTGATCTCGGGGTCATGAATTCAAGCTCCACATTGGGCACAGAGCTTACTTAAATAAATAAATAAAAATAAAATTTAGGGGCACCTGGGTGGCTCAGTTGATTAAACATCTGACTTCGGCTCAGGTCACGATCTCACGATTTGTGAGTTCAAGCCTGACATTGGGCTCTGTGCTGACAGCTTGGAGCCTAGAGCCTGCTTCAGATTCTGTATCTCCCTCTGTCTCTGCCCTTTCCCCGTTAGTGCTCTCTTTCTCTCAAAAATAAAATAAAATACATTTAAAAAAATAAATAAAGATTAAAAATTGTTTAAATATATAAATAAATAACACCTAAGTATTACATTATGAAACAAACACTAAGAAAGAGATAAATGATGCAGCTTTGTCATCATTACCTGTTTTTATAGATACATCTACAGTAAAACTTAGGTGGAAAGTACTATTCATTTGATTTATACTTTGGTTTTCAGAGATGGGTCACTTGGTATATTGACATTGCATATGCCGTGGCTACTTTCTAATAAGAACCCTGCTTCCTTCCATTTAATGCTCTGTATTGAGTATGATTAGTAGTAACTAATATTTTTTGAACATTTACAGTGTGGTATTTGGTAGCACATACTTTATTTAATCTTCAATCCTACAAGTTGGATGGTTTATCCCATTTTAACAGTCAAGGAAAGTGGTACATATGTATTACAAATTTTAAAGGACATTTTGTCAGCACTGATTCTTCCTTGTGTTCTGTGGATGTGGGTCTTATATCATTTCAACTGCTGCTTTTTCAAAAACTGATTGCTATTTTAGAAAGGAGGAAAGTATTTTTATTTTTTATTTTTTAATTTTTTTAAGTTTATTTATTTATTTTGAGAGAGAGAGAATGAGCAAAGGAGGGACAGAGGGAGGCGGGGACCGAGGATCCAAAGCAGGCTCCGAGCTGACAGAAGACAGCCTGATGTGGGGCTCTGAAGTTACTGATGAAATCAGTAGAACATCTGATTATTAGAGGATAGCTGTGCTGTTTTACTGGTTTTTTGTATTATAATGGTAAAGTGCTTTATGTATTACACTAAAGCAAATAAGTGAAAAAATTACATTTTCTTTTGATCCCATAGGACGTAGATGATTTCTTTGAGCATGAACGAACATTTCTTTTAGAATATCATAACCGAGTTAAGGATGCATCTGCTAAATCTGATAGGATGACAAGATCCCACAAAAGTAAGGTTTTTTTCTCTGTGGCTAAAGCTTACCTTTTTTTAATGGAATAATTATAAAGTTGTTATTTTATTTACAGTTTGTAAAAGTCTTGATATAGAACAGTGTTTCTCAAACTTTGGTCTGTGAAGCTTTGACCCTAGGGCTCTTTTTATTTTTAGCAAGTCTGTGAGGTAAAAACTATCTTCATAATAATCCACGATGCTTTTTGTATTTTTCACCATGTTGATATTTACACTGATAATGCAAAAGCCATGGTGGATAAAATTACTGATGCCTTAGCACAGACCAGGGCAGTAGCACCAAATTATGCTAATAGTCACTGTATTCTTTCTACAGTGCATTTGCAGTTAGAACAGATTTTTCAATTAAGGATGTCCTTGATGAAGCAGTAAAAATTATTAATTAATAAATCGCTTCCCTTGGGTTCACATTTTTTAATATCTGAATGATGGGAGGTATGTGTAAAGCACTTTGATTACATATGATGGTTCTCTCTAGAAAAGCATTTTAGTGATTGAGTTGCAACTAAACTAGTTGCTTTTTTCATAAAACCCCATTTTTACTTGAGAGAACAATGGACAAATGATGATTATTCATAGTTGAGTATTTGGTAGACATTTTCTTAAAAATTAAGTGACCCTGTCACTTTAAGGAAAACAACTGACAGTATTTGTTGACAATGATAAAAGTCAAGCTTTCCAGCAATAAGTAGAATTTTGGAAAACTTGTATCCATCCCCATGAGCTTGGTTCCCAATAATTAAAGACTGGTCTGAGGGAGGAGATTGATGGGAATATGTGAATTTTTGATACTGTTTATGTATACTGAAGTGCATCAACATTTGGAAGGTCTGCATCATTCATTGAACCAATATTTTCTAAATGACCAAATACATGATGTTACAAAATCACATATGTAAAAGATTCATTCAAAGTTCAAGATAGGCTAATGGGGTTTTTTAACATCTTTATTGAGGTAAAAATTGATATCAGTAAGCTGTAGTATTCAGAGTATACAATTTGATAAGTTTTGACATATGTGTAAAATCATCACTACAGCCAAGATAATTAATATATCTATCACCTCCACAAGTTTCCTTATAGCCCTCTGTAATCCCTCCTTCTCACCCTGTCCCCAGGAAACCAACGATCTGCTTTTTGTCTCTGTAGATTAGTTTGCATTTTCTAGAATTTTATATAAATGGAATCATACTATATGTACTCTTTATTATTTGGCTTTGAAATTCAACAAAATTATTTTGAGATTCATTCATGTTGTGTGTATCGAGAGGTTATTCCTTTTTATTGCTGAGTATTATTCTATTCTATGGATATATCACAGTTGTTCATCCATTCAGCTATTGGTGGACATTTGGGTTGTTGTTAGCTTTTGGCTGTTATAAATAAAGCTGATGTGAACCATCTATATGTAAGTCTTTGTATGGACATGTGCTTCCGTTGCTCTTGGGTAATACCTGAAAGAGTGACCAGGTCATGCGGTAAGTGTATAATTAACTTTTTAAAAACTTTAGGGGCGCCTGGGTGGCGCAGTCGGTTGACCGTCCGACTTCAGCCAGGTCACGATCTCGCGGTCCGTGAGTTCGAGCCCCGCGTCGGGCTCTGGGCTGATGGCTCAGAGCCTGGAGCCTGTTTCCGATTCTGTGTCTCCCTCTCTCTCTGCCCCTCGCCCGTTCATGCTCTGTCTCTCTCTCTCCCAAAAATAAATAAACGTTGAAAAAAAAAATTAAAAAAAAAAAACTTTGGAAAAAACTGCCACTTTTTTCCCAAAATGATTGTACCATTTTATATTCCTACCAGCTGTACATGAGCGTTCCAGTTGCTCCACATCTTTTCCAACAAGGATACTCATTCTTTTTCATTTCAGCCATTCTCATAAGTCAGTAATGTCTCTGTGTAGTTTTAATTTTTAATTTGCATTTCCCTAATGACTAATGATGTTGAACATCCCTTCTTACATAAATCTTCTAGCTTTTTTCTTCTTTACCAAAGTTGTTTTTGGCCCCTCTAGGTTCTTTACATTTTCATATGGATTTTATTTTTTTATTTAAATTTTACTTAGTTAATATACAGTGCAACATTGGTTTCAGGAGTAGAATTTAGTGATTCATTATTTACAATACTCCGTGTTTGTCACAAGTGCCCTCCTTAATTTCCATCACCCATCTAGCCCATGTCTTACCCACCTCCCTCTGTCTACTCTGTTTGTTCTCTATTGTTAAGAGTCTCTTGTGGTTTGTTTCCCTCTCTTCTCTTCCCCTTCCTTTCCCATATGTTCATCTGTTTTGTTTCTTAAATTCCACATATGAGTGAAATCGTGTGGGATTTGTCTTCTTCTGATTGACTTATTTCAATTCATACCGATTTAGAATTAGCTTGTCACTTTCTACACAAATGCTGTCTGGGATTTTGGGGTTGTGTAGAATCTGTAGGTCATTTTGGGGAAGATTGACATCTTAACCATATTGACTCTTCTGATACATAAATATAGTATATCTCTCCATTTAGTTTGGTCTTCCTTATAATTCTCTCAGCAATGTTTTTTAACTTATATTGTACAGGTGTTATACACCGGTTTTTTTTTTAATTTAATTTTTTATTTTTTTAAATTTACATCCAAGTTAGTTAGCATATAGTGCAACAACGATTTCAGGAGTAGATTCCTTAATGCCCCTTACCCATTTAGCCCATCCCCCCTCCCTTCAGTTACCTTCTGTTTGTTCTCCATATTTAAGAGTCATGTTTCGTCCCCCTCCCTGTTTTTATTTTATTTTTGCTTCCCTTCCCTTGTGTTCATCGGTTCTGTCTTAAAGTCCTCATATGAGTGAAGTCATATGATATTTGTCTTTCACTAATTTCGCTTTAATACCATCTAGTTCCATCCACATAGTTGCAAATGGCAAGATTTCATTCTTTTTGATTGCCAAGTAATACTCCATTGTGTATATATACCACATCTTCTTCATTCATCCATTGATGGACATTTGGGCTCTTTCCATACTTTGGCTATTGTTGATAGTGCTGCTATAAACATTGGGGTGCATGTGCCTCTTTGAAGCAGCATACCTGTATCCCTTGGATAAATACTTAGTAGTGCAATTGCTGGGTCATAGGATAGTTCTATTTTTAATTTTTTGAGGAACCTCCATGCTGTTTTCCAGAGTGGCTGCACCAGTTTGCATTCCCACCAGCAGTGCAAAAGAGATCCTCTTTCTCCACGTCCTGGCCAACATCTGTTGTTGCCTGAGTTGTTCATCTTAGCCATTCTTGACTGGTGTGAGGTGGTATCTCATTGTGGTTTTAATTTGTATTTCCCTGATGATGAGTGATGTTGAACATTTTTTCATGTGTCGGTTGGCTGTCTGGATGTCTTCTTTGGAGAAGTGTCTATTCATGTCTTTTTTACCCATTTCTTCACTGGATTATTTGTTTTCTGGGTGTTGAGTTTGATAAGTTCTTTGTAGATTTTGGATACTAACCCTTTATCTGGTATGTCGTTTGCAAATATCTTCTCCCATTCTGTCGGTTGCCTTTTAGTTTTGCTGATTGTTTCCTTTGCTGTGCAGAAGCTTTTTATTTTGTTGAGGTCCCAATAGTTCATTTTTGCTTTTGTTTCCCTTGCCCCTGGAGATGCGTTGAGTAAGAGGTTGCTGCAGCCAAGATCAAAGGGTTATTGCCTGCTTTCTCCTCGAGGATGTTGATGGCTTGTCTTACATTTAGGTCTTTCATCCATTTTGAGTTTATTTTTGTGTATGGTATAAGAAAGTGGTCCAGGTTCATTTTTCTGCATGTTACTGTCCAGTTTTCCCAGCATCACTTGCTGAAGAGACTGTCTTTATTCCATCAGATACACTTTCCTGCTTTGTCAAAGATTAGATGGCCATATGTTTGTGGGTCCATTCTGGGTTCTCTGTTCTGTTCCGTTGATCTGAGTGTCTGTTTTTGTGCCAATACCATACTATCTTGATGATTACAGCTTTGTAATACAGCTTGAAGTCCGAGGATCTTATACACCTTTAGTTGAATTGATCCCTGATTATTTTTTGATGCTATCATAAATGATGTGTTTTTTACATTTCAGTTTCTAGTTCTTTGCTAATATATAGAAATACAGTGTGTTTTCTGTATTGATCTTGTATCTTGCAATATTACTAAATAAACTCACTTATTAGTTCCAGTAACTATTTTGTAGATTCCTTATGATTTTCTACATAGATGATCATCTGCCAATAAAAACAATTACACTTGTTTCCAATTTAGATTCCATTTATTTCTTGTCTTTGCCCCGTTGTACTGAAGCTATACCTATAGCTCCAGTGCAGTGTGGATGGAAGTGGTGAGAATAGGCATCTTTGCCTTGTTCCTTAGCTTATGGGGAAGGCATTCATTCTTTTTTTTTTTTTCAACGTTTATTTATTTTTGGGACAGAGAGAGACAGAGCATGAATGGGGGAGGGGCAGAGAGAGAGGGAGACACAGAATCGGAAACAGGCTCCAGGCTCTGAGCCATCAGCCCAGAGCCTGACGCGGGGCTCGAACTCACGGACCGCAAGATCGTGACCTGGCTGAAGTCGGACGCCCAACCGACTGCGCCACCCAGGCGCCCCGGAAGGCATTCATTCTTAAACCATTAATTATGGTGTTTGGTGTAGGTTTTTCCTAGATGCTTTTTATCAGGGTGAAAAAATTGTCTTATAAATTTATCTGAGAGGTTGTGTTTTTTTAAATCAGGAATGAGCGTTGGATTCTTTTCATATGCTCTTTTTGCAGCTGCAGTGTTCAGATAATCCCGTTTTTTCCTTTTAGTCTATTATGTATTGATTGATTTTCAAATGTTAAACCAACTTTATGATCTTGGGATTAATATCACTTATTTATACCAATGGAGTTTAATGTAATAGAGCTTAGAAAGTTTATTGATATGATTTTAGATTCCCCACTGCAACTATTTTTTTTAATATGAAATTTATTGTCAAATTGGTTTCCATACAACACCCAGTGCTCATCCCAACAGGTGCCCTCCTCAATGCCCATCACCCTCTTTTCCCTCCCTCCCATCCCCCATCAACCCTCAGTTTATTCTCAGTTTTTAAGAGTCTCTCATGGTTTGCCTCCTTCCCTCTCTGTAACTTTTTTTTTCCTCTTCCCCTCCCCCATGGTCTTCTGTTAGGTTTCTCAGGATCCACATAAGAGTGAAAATGTATGGTATCGTCTTTCTCTGTATGACTTATTTCACTTAGCATATCACTCTCCAGTTCCATCCATGTCATTACAACTAACTCTTAAAGAAACTACTACTTGTTGAGTTTTGGGGTGGTATCAAAGAAGAATATCCACAGGGCGCCTGGATGGCTCAGTCGGTTGAGTGTCCGACTTCGGCTCAGGTCATGATCTCGCAGTTGACGAGTTCGAGCCCCGCGTCGGGCTCTGTGCTGACAGCTCAGAGCCTGGAGCCTGCTTTGGATTCTGTGTCTCCCTCTCTGTACCTCCGCTGCTATACTCTGTCTGTCTGTCTCTCTCTCAAAAATAAATATAACCATTAAAAAAATATTTTTTAAAAGGAATATCCACAATTATCTGAAAATAAAGCTACATATCTGTTTGAGACTGCATTTTCTCCACATATTTGAACAAAAGCAGTGTATTATAATATTACGATTGAATGCAGAAGCAGGTAAGAGAATGCAGCTCTTCTATTAAGATAAAGACACAAAAAATTTGTAAAAATGTAATAGTGTCACTCTGCTCACTAATTTAAAAATACATATAGTTATTTTTCATTTGAAATATTACTTATGTTAACTATGATTTTAATACTTTTAATCATTTTGCTTTACTTAAAAAACATACAGTACATATTGATAGACATAATCCCCATAAACACAATTATTTAGGATCCTCAATAATTTCTAAGAGTGTAAAGGAGTCCTTAGACCAAAAAGTTTGAGAACCTCTGTTATAGAGACAGTTCAGCTGGTACCTAGAAATAAGAACCTCTGTTTTGGAGTACTGTTACATGCTGTAACAGAAAGGAAATAAAGTCTCTGCCTTGATACCTTCTATTCTTGTGTCATTCTTTGGAGAAGGCTAGGAGTTATTTTTATATTTTATTCTATTTTTGTAACTTACAGATTTCTTCTAAGGAAGTAGTTATTTACATTTGCTTGTTCAGTACTTAAGAACTATAAAGTGTGGGAAGCTTGAATTCCTTCCTAGATTTATTACCAATTTGCTCTAGAGCATTGGGCAAGTCACATAATTAATTGGTATTATACTGGTTCCCTTGTTTATAAAATGACATTAAGATGAGTTATCTCACACGTTTTACTCCTCTGTTAAGAGAAACTTTGTCCTAGTCTGTCCTCTCCCTGTCCCTCCATCAAGACCTGCACTTACTCCCTCTACACACCCAGAGTCACATAGTGCACCCTGTGGGGCTCCAGCAGTACCCTGTTTGCTTTCCTGGGGACCCCCATACTCCACCAACTGGACCAGGCTGGAGCCCACAGGCCTCGCCTGTACCCCCTCAAGAAAGAAAAACTTTGTAAATATGAAATGGTATATATACTAGTGTTAGTTGTAATAATTAGGAGTATCCTTAAGTTTATTTTTGATTATTTAAAATGGAATCCTATTAGGGGTGCCTGGCTGGCTCAGTCAGTAGAATATGCGACTCTTGATCTCAGGGTTGTAGGTTTGAGCCCCACATTGAATGAAGAGATTACTTAAAAATAAAATCCTTTAAAAAATTAAAATAAAATAGAATCCTACTATACTTTAAAAATTGTTTTGGGGCACCTGGGTGGCACAGTCGGTTAAGCGTCCGACTTCAGCCAGGTCACGATCTCGCGGTCCGGGAGTTCGAGCCCCGCGTCAGGCCCTGGGCTGATGGCTCAGAGCCTGGAGCCTGTTTCCGATTCTGTGTCTCCCTCTCTCTCTGCCCCTCCCCCGTTCATGCTCTGTCTCTCTCTGTCCTAAAATAAATAAACATTGGAAAAAAAAATTTTTTTTTTAATAAAAATTGTTTTAAAGTTATTTAGCTCAGGGGCACCTTGCTGGCTGTCAGTAGAGCATACGACTCTTTTTTTGTTGTTTGTTTAAGAGAGAGAGAGAACACCAGAGGGGGAGAGTGGCAGAGAGAGAGAGAGAGAGAGAGAGAGAGAATGAATGAATTCTAAGCAGACTTCATGCTTGACCTGAGCCGAAATCAAGAGTGTAATACTCAGTTAACTGAGCCACCCAGGCACCCCTGAGTCTATGACTCTTAATCTCAGGGTAATGAGTTCAAGCCCCATGTTGGGCGTGGACCTGCATAGGATAGGATAGGATAGGATAGGATAGGATAGGATAGGATAGGATA